GGAAAATGGATGAGAGGGATGCCCGTACCTGTAGGGTTTCCCAGTTGTCCGGTTTGATCTCCGTAGAGTCTTTCATCAGTTCTACGTACCCATACTTCGATAAATGGGCCATCATCTTGACCTTGTAGAACCTGAACTTCTCATCTTTCCCATCGAAGATGGGATACTTGCTCGACGATGATACCTCTACCTCCGTAGACATCTTTACTTACTTCTCAATTCTTCTCTTTCTGTTTGACAACCTGGATCCAAGCTCACTCTTTCCTGATAGCTATCGTTTTAAAACGTGTTGAAAAGTGTGAACTTGAACGCACAATTTCTCTAATTTAATCAATATCCTTCCAGCTCTACTGTCTAGTAGACTGGCTATCTGTTTCGTTTTCTCTTTCTCTCTCGTTCAGATTGTGAGCTCTACAACTGAGCTCCGATATGCATACATATACCAGGATCTTTCGATCCTCTGCTTCTCGCAGTTTCATCTACAGATAGATCTCGTCGATCTATCTTCCTGAAGTGCATGGTTGGCCCTGGAGGGCTTTTCCCACTTTACTAAACCTATGGACCTTCATCCGTCCATTCATTTGCTCCGTCCCATCGCTCCTTGCATTCATCTCTTCGACCTAACTTCCTAACCTTTGTAGTTGCATCATCTAGACGACCATTGTCCTCGTTCCTCGTACTCCTGGCCATCTGATGATGATCGGATAACCATCTGATTTGAGTCACACATCACCAATCACGAACCGTGATTGTGGATCCCGAGTCGTCTGTCCGTCATACGAAAATACCTTTCTGACACACTTTGTCACCCTTGGCAGATTCTCAAATGACCTTGATGATGACACCACCCTCATTTCTTTCCCTCCATCGTTTCTTTTGCCAATGGCATCCCATGCGGTACTGTAGAGTTGATTGACCCGCTGCATCCAGCACCTCACTCTTCTTACTAGCTAGTATTAAGAACCCAACCAGCCGAAACTGCCATGCAATCTGTTGCAGAAGACGAACCTCTGATTTCCGACGGTGACTTGGCGGCACTGGCCCAGTGCGGCCAGCACTATGACAGTGTCCGTCCTTCCCACGCTCGACGAACGTCTTCGGGTGGTACTTTGGTGAGCAGCTTGGACTTTGAACGAATTGTCAATCAGTATTCCATCCAAGCCGTGCGGGATCAGTGGCTACTTCCTCCCTTGTCCGAAGATGGGAGTGCCGTGGGAAGCGGTCGTGAAGGTGAAAACGGTGAAATTTCCAGAAGCAGGCGCAAGTCGTCTGTGCGTGGGTATCGACCCAAACCAAAAGGCAAGCATCTATTGGGATATACGGGAAGGACGGCCACTCGATGGTTCTTGTCAGCCTTGGCGGGATTGTTGACGGGTCTTATCAGTATCGTGATTGTAAGTGGGAAAATGAATAAACTGGTTCAATGTATGTGGTCAGGATACCTTGATGTCTCACAAGATGTTTCCTTTTATTGTCGCCCTTCCATGATTTATCCTATAGGTCCAAGTCTCGGGTTTTTTGGTGGGATGGCGTAGCCAAAATGTTCAATCTTTGATTCTCGATCCAGCGTACAGTGACGCGTATGTCTTTACGATATACATGTCGCTCAACTTGGCGGGAGCTCTGCTTGCCTCATGGCTCTGTGTGGGATGGGTGCCTCAGGCGACCGGGTCGGGAATCAGTGCGGTCAAGGCCTACTTGAATGGCATTCGAGGCAATCAAAAGTTTACCCGGTTGCCCTTGTTTATTGTCAAAGTCGTGGGAAACATTCTGGCCGTGTCTTCTAGTTTGGCCATTGGTCAAGAAGGTCCTCTGATTCATATTGGTGCCATGGTGGGAAGCAGTCTGTCCAAGATATCGGGGATCCTTTCCAAGTTTCTGCAAAGCGTTCAAAGATGGAATCCGGAATGCTGTCGTTCGGCCTTGATGCGAGCACACATCAATGGTCCATCTTTGATTCAGAAAGCATTGACGTGGACCACAACGGAGCTCTCTCATTTCGCGACCGACGCGGAGCGACGTGATTTGGTTTCCATTGGGGCTTCGGTTGGATTTGCGGCTTCTTTTGGGGCTCCAGTCGGTGGATTGCTCTTTATTCTCGACGATATCTCCTGTTACTTTTCCCGGAATCTCCTCCTGAGGATCTTGGTGGCCAATGCCATTGGTACTCTTTGTTTGGCATTCCAGCATGGTGATCTTGGGAACTACAGTGTTATCAACTTGGGACATTCGGGGCCTCTTGTTACAAATGCCATTGAAGAGATCCCGCTCTACATCTTTATAGGCGTCATGGGAGGAATCTTGGGTGGGACCTTTGTGGCGTCTTTTCTATGGCTCCGACGAAATATCACCAGTCGGTTCCCACCCAGAGGAAAAGGACGTGCGAAATATCAATTACTGGAAGTGGCAATAGTCAGCGTCGTGACCTCTCTGTTGCTATTCTACCTGCCCAGTTTCGCCTGGGCTTGCAAATCCAACCCAGATGGTTCGACTACCAGTCTACGTGATATAGCCAATGCCAATGGAGAGTTTGATGCCACTGCTCGTCATCGATTCTTTTGTCCCGAGGGTGAAATCAACGAATTGGCCAACTTCCACTTTGGAAGTCGTATTGAGGCCATCAAGCGAATCTTGACCGATCCCTCGCAGTTCATGACCCAAACACTGCTTTCGGTTGGAATACTCTTTTATGTCCTCATGACAATAACTTTTGGCATTGCAATTCCATCGGGAATCTTTACGCCCACTGTGTTGATTGGTGCCTCGTTGGGAGGAGCTGCTGGGAACTTCTTTCAAGAGACCATTGATCCAGAAATTACACCTTCGACGTTTGCGTTGCTGGGAGTGGCAGCTCTGTTGGCGGGTATTCAAAGATCAACAATCAGCGTGGCTGTCATTTTGGTAGAGGGGACCGGGCAAATCAAAGTGCTCACACCAGCAATCATTGTGGTTGTCATTGCACGATACGGTAGGTACTGAGAGTCAACCAACCACAGGTGCAACTTTGCCGGACAACTTGGTTTCTCAAATGGTTATGTTATGCTAATTGAATCAACAGTGGCAAGTTTGATAACCAAGGATGGTGTTTTTGAGGCAGTGATGGTGTTGAAGAAGGTACCATATCTGGAGCAAAATGTGAACAAGAGACGATATGACGCCATCGAAGTGGGCGATATCATGTGGGAAGGTCCGGTGGTTTCTGTATCACCTCGAGAACAGGTTCATCGTCTGGTGACACTCTTGGCAACTAGTGGCCACAATGGGTTCCCAGTGATTGATCCGCAAACCAAAAAGGTGAATTTCCAAGAGAAGACGTTTTGCAGGCTTCGCCATTACCTCCCGCCCTCACGCTTCCTTCCCTTCTCAGTTCCTTGGGCTGGTGAGAAGAGATCAGATTGCCGCTCTAATCGAATGTGGGGTGTTTGACAAATCATTCGTTGGCGGCGTAGAAGAGACACCAGCTTGGGCGAGGCCACAAACGGGGGTCGACAAGTCACCCCTCATGCGTACGTACCGGTACATGTAGCTGATCGCCTTTGTATGGAGATTTCCTTGACCGACCACCAACCAACATTCTGTATCACTTTCCAGGATGGGCGTATCACATCAACGATGACCGATACGATTATATTCGTCGTCAAACACCGGTTCAAAAGGAACGAAAGAAGGCTCCCCCAAAACGGGCTATTAAAGCATCACCTCGGTTCAGCTTGATCTCGTCGCGCAATCTGAAGCTGGCCGTTTTCTCGGCGTTGCCCACGGAATTCGCATCGGTTGCTCAAAACGATGAAGGGCTTGTTTACATCTCATGGCTGAATTCTGATTACGCGAAACATTGGGTCAACATTGGTGCCGTGATGAATCGAGGAGTCTATGTTGTGACGTGAGTAAACTGCATGATGTGTTCTCCTCTCAAGCGATGTAGTTGGATATGACGACTTTGTGTGTGCTCAACTGGTTCTACTCCCACTTCGTTGCACAGTGAATTTTGCCCGGTGTCAAAGGCATACCAGCTATTTACTTCCCTTGGATTGAGGTACCTGGTTGTTTTGGGTGGTGAAACCGGTGGTGAGGTTGTGGGGGTGCTATCTAGAGCCAACCTACTTCCCGAATACATCAAGGAACGCACCGGGGTATAGTATTTCTGTAAACTTGTCATTGTTTGATTGATACGGTAGCGAAGAAAGTGTGCTGATTCAGGTGGATTTGATGATCCCAAGTGGAGCAGTGGCCGCCTTTGCGCAGTGGAGCATGAACTAAACCTTCTCTCTAGCTAGCTAACCAACTAACTTGTCTAATGTACCGGTAGCCATGTCTCGACGGTTGTACTACCTACCTACCCAAGAGCCTCCAGTGTGATATAAGCAGTCGAAGTTTGTGCGTACTGGGATGGCATTATGATGCCGATGAGCAGTGGAAACCCACTACTGGGGGTCGATTCACGCTGGGTATTTCCACGATCTTTTGAAACATGGGGACTGGGGGTGTCCACTGAACAACCGAAAGATCCAAATCGACAAAAATCTTCGTACAAGACATCAAGATGCACAAGATAGCAGACGTACGATACCCCTCCTGATAACTATCTCACCTTCTTAGAAACTTCTTCTAACGATGCATTACATCATCAGCGTCTTCATACATGTACTTCTGGGTGTTGGCCTGCTGTTGCGCCCCGTTTTGGCATTGCAACAATCCACGCCAAGATGGCAACCTCTTCCGGAAGTGCCGCGACGCCAAGTGTTGACCTCTGCCGTTGGCGCTGCATCTGCCGGTCTCTTATTACCCGCTGCCAAGGCAAGCCCCATACTAGCAGGCCCACGCTCTGTCATTGCCGTCGATTCTCATTTGAGCATTCCAGTCTGGCCCTCGTGGGCAGGAGGCCGCGTTGTCCCAGTTTCCCTGGGAGGACCTCTGCAAGATCCTTTTCTGTTGTTGGCCCACCACAAGCACTGGTTTGATCCCAAAGATCCACTACGGCAACCCTTCCAACAAGCTGGAAAATTGTTGGGATTGCCGTATGTGGATGTAGAAGGCTTCAAGCTTCACCCCCATCGCGGCTTTGACATTTGGACGTATGTTTTGGATGGAAGCGATGGCTTTCGTCATCGAGACAGCTTGGGTGAGTCTCCGCGAGTCTATCGAGGAGGGTCGGCCCAGTGGATGCGAACGGGATCGGGGGTAATGCACGAAGAATATTGGGAAACTCGACCGGACAGAAGAACCAATATTGAACTATTTCAGCTATGGGTCAATTTAGGCTCCAAACAAAAGATGGATCCTCCGGCCATTCGGTATTTGGGACAAGACACTACTACGCTGTGGACCGAGAAACACACAGTTTCCAAAGGGAGTGGGTGGGTCCGTGATTTGACATCTACCTTGAACACAGTCATAGACGAGCCAGCTACCAGTACAGACTTTGATGGCCAAGGAATGGCCCGAGGACGTCCTCCACTGGAGATTCTTCACGTCAAGTTGGATCCAGGTAGCGAATTTACCTGGGAGACGACACTCAACGTGGTGCTCTATGTGCGAGAAGGCGCAGCACAACTAAAAGATGTGGCTGGTAACATGGTTCCTGTCGAGGCACTCCAAACAGCAACCTTTTCTCACAATGGAGACTTTGTCACCATCCGCAACCAAAAGGAGAGGCAAACACTCGACTTTTTGTTGCTCTCAGCACAGCCCCTGAGGGAGCAAGCGATACAAGCGGGTCCCATAGTCATGAACACGGAGGAGGAAATCAATGTTGCTTATCAACAGCTACAAGAGGGGACGTTCTTGAATCGAGACTATGTCTTGAAACAACATGAACAAAAGAGACGTGCTTGATGAGAAGACGCAAGCTTTGTTTGGACAATGGCAAGAGGTAAGCAACAGTGACAGTGCTCCCTGGTGCTTCTGGGGCGTTGGTTACTGGACACGAATCTTGCATAAACAAAGATGCATGTTCGAATACTGGTATTCAAAGAAGCAACAGAGCGTTGAAACCAGTTCTTTTCCAAGTGAGTTTTCTGCCTTGAAGACTGATATTGAAATGTCTGTTGGATTGAGATACCAGCTCAAGATGGTGGGCGTGCCTTTGGATGGAACGATTGTTATGTTGGCTGAGAACTTACATGTCTCTCATCAAGAACGCGTGCAACCCTGACAGTGTCGCTCCTGAAGAAGAAATCGGTGTCAGTGGCATCCGGTGCTGGTACCATTACACCCGAGAGTCGAGTCATCCGCTTGGGCACCACTGTGGTGGTTTACGTACCAAGTGAAAAGAACCTCAGCGACATCTATCTGCTACCCAGCTGCAACTGTGAAAGTACGTTAACTTTTTATTCGCTCATTAGTGCAAATACCGTAGCTGCGCAAGTAGAAAACCAGCCCATCTACTTCCTGCCAAGAATGCCAAGGCGCCGAGACCACGCAACTGCTGCCTAGCTGAGACTTTCAACTGTGGCAATCGCTTTGAAGTTTCTTTTGTGGCTCTCCTTCTGCTTCAATCAGAAAGGAAGAAGACAAAGTTTCCCTTCGGCAGAGACTGTCGAGACAGGTTTGGGCGAGGATGCCTGAGTCGAGTCCGTTGCTTCGGCGCCACAAAGAGTCAAGTGTGAAACTTGATGGATGAGCAGGTCCCAGCATCATTCTATGCATATGGATGGCTTCTCTCTGTTCTGCTGCTCTGGTGGTACCGAACTCGTTAGTCTGTCTGATGGTGATTCATGATTCTTGGACGCTGCTGCAAAGGAATCTATGGTATCGGCGGCGGAGTCGAGTCGTTCTCAGCCATCAATGAGTTATAGAATTCAGCTGGCTTTACGCTTTGAAGAACTGCTCTACAGATACTAGTACTTCACCCTCAAGCAAGACACAACTGAATTGTCTATTGAAGTAGGAATCTATGCATTAAAAACTATCAACTCTCTCCATTGGAGAGACGCGCTGCAGGATACTTGAAGCATCAACCAATGCATTCAAGTTGGCTGGTGGGTCAGCCTGTGTATCCCGCGCTGCGTAGTATCAACAGCCCAACTGATTGGGATGGGCTCGTCATTCTCTTGGCATGACGTCGAGCTGGCAAACTCTCCCTAGTACTCGGGCCCCACCATCGCAAGCAGAACAGGCAAGAAGACCAAGCCATGAAGCACCCCAAAACTGACTAGACCGATGAATGAGACAAAGATATTGTTGATGATCTCGCTGGTGCTAAAGGCCAACAACAGCACTCCCAAGAATGTAGAGATGGCCCCAACCAAAATGGAGGCTCCCATGGTTGAAAGCGTTTCCACCACTCTTTCCTCTCTCGTACCCTTTGATTCATAGTAACGTAGCAATATGTGCTAAAGAGAAATGGAACGGAAACGTTAGCGAGATGCCCTCGACAGAATCCTCACAGCTATCAACCGCGCGCAGAGATGTACATACCATGATAAAGTCCACCATAAGACCGATGGACATGACAAGGGTCATGTAGCTAATGGCATTGATTTGGACGCCGGAGATGTAGAGGAAGCCAAGCATGTCAATGTAGAGGAAGGAAATGAAGGGGAAGACGAAGAGGACTGCTGTCCAGTGCGGGATGAAGATCATAGCAATCACACTGACTGCCACAACTCCCATGATGGTCGTGCTAATCAGCTCGTCGACAACCACCGAGTAGAATCTGAAAGGAAAAAGAAGTGCGTGGGTTAGAGATGGACGCAAAAAACCAAGCAGACAACAGCGATAGGCTACAACGTACTCCAAGATGTGATATTCGTCCGAGTAAGTCAGGAACGGCCAATGCTCTTTTCCTTGATTGATTGGCTGCCTACTGGACACGGCACGCATCTCCTTGAGCATGTCCGTGCCATCTTTGGACTTTTGCATGTTGACATCGACGTATGCTACGCAGCGTGATTCAATCACACTGCCGTCATCGCTGATGACCACATGCTCTCCGTAAAGATCTTCCCAACCAGGGTCTTTAAAGAACGTGGCAATCTTCTCGTTGAATGTGAGGTCGGCAAGCTTTGGATTGTCCGCAACGAATTGGTTGAAGTCTCGAAGCCAAAAGTAGACGGGGTAGTGGGCAATGGCATCGGAATCATTCAAGTCGTCAATGTAGTCAAGCATCTGCTGCTGAACATCGGGATCAGACTGGTCGACATCGCGGAAGAAAACGTAGACATAGAGACCATTTCGAACCGTGTAGTCATCGATCGCTGTAAAGTAGTCCTTGAGATAAGAGTCGTTGGGGACCATATCAATGTAGTTGAACTCTTGCTTCAGGCGGGTAGCAGCAATCAACGAAGTTGCCAAGACAACCAAAAAGAGGACAACCACAATGCCTTGGTTGAACGGTCTCAACATGCGCTTGGCCCACCAGTACATGAATCTATCGGCAAAGTGCGTCTTCTCAGCCACATACGGTTCTAGATCATCCTGCGGGAGGGACTTGGAAGGAACCTTTTCTACAATTCCCTTCTCCACGACGGCTTCCTCGTCGGTATTGGTACGGATAGTGTTGTCATTGGGTTGCTTGACGGGACTATCTTCGTTGTCAGAGAATGTTTCTCCTTGTTGAAGGCAATCGTCCTTTTCAGCGACAGACCAGAAGCAAATGTCCTTCTTGTTGGCTTGGATCCGACGTTCGTCAAGGACAATCAACGAAATGAAAAATGTGACTTGGTAGATAAAGTCGATGATGATCGTTGGAAATGCTGCCAGCAGAAGACAAGGACAGATGAGATGAGGTCAAAGAAAAGTTGGGTGATGATCATGCCACTGTGAAACAGAATAGTACCTACCATACCAGCACACCCATGAGACGGCCGGGATGTTGGAGAAAGTTCCCATGAAAAACGCCAGGGACGAAGTCAAGGTTCTGAGAGCGCATGAGGAAACAAGGAGGGTTAGAAATAAGAGTAGGCATGCCGCAGTGCCGAAGCTTCAATTCCACTTCAACTCACGTCAAGGAAATGCTCAATCCAACATCGTCAATGGTATGTTGAATCCGTTCATAGGCACTCAACCGTGGATCGGTTCGATTGTACGATCCAAAAATGATAAAGGAATCATCCAACCCAACTCCAAACAACAAGAAAGGAATCATGGTAGTGACGGAAGTAAAGGGCACTCCAAAGATGAACAAGAGTCCATATCCACTAATGATACTCAAGACAATACAGACGACTGCACCCACTCCTAGCAACATTCTGGATTTGACTCGATCACGATGCCAAAAGACAAAGCAACAAAAGGCCGACATGATGGTAAAGACGGCTGGCAGGAGCGGAAGATCCTTGATAATGGCCCGAAAGAATTCATCCGAGTACGAACGGTAGGCCGTCATTTCAATGGTAAAGGGATTGTTGGGGTCGGCATCCCATTCCGCCTGCAATGCCTGGATGCGTTCCAATGCGGACCATTCAAAGTCGGCCGTCATATTGGTCCAGGGCAAATCAAACTCTATCAAGTAGGATTGTGCCGATTCCAAGTAAGTCGTGGCATCATCGTCGTGCGAGGTGGCATACCGGGTGGCCTTTCCCAAGATGCGTGGTTCATCGACATAAATGCCATTGGGATACCGAGGATTGGACATGGCAAAGATGGCATCTTGATCGGTTTCGACTTGTTCTTCAAATATGGCCAATGACTCGTTCCAAAAGTCGGCCACGGAATGGATTTTACATTCTCCGACAAAGTACTCGTCTCCAAAGAGTGCGGCCCAATAACAGCCCTCTTTGTACCCTTCCAAGTCACGAATGGCATCAATGGCTTCAAAGGTTCTTTTGACACCGTCCACTCCCAGGACATTGTCGCCTTTGGCATGAATGATCATGTCAAAGTAGGAAGTATCGTAGTTAAAGTTGGAGTTGTAGTAGTACCAATCGGTGTGTTCAATGGAGAGTGAATTCTGTGGTGGCCACAAGTAGGCATTTTCTAATTCCAGATAAAAGTTGGTACACATGCCAATGGTAATGAGCGTAAGGGATGTCAAGATGACCGCGCTAATGCACAGTTTGGGATATACGGCAGCATAGTGCGTCATGAATCTCAAAAAGCGACAGGTCCAGATGCGAATCCGGTTGATAATGTTGTGCCAGCGAGTTCCACAACCACCTTCGGTGTGCCGAGGGAGGTGACGGGAAGTGCGACGTGCTGATGATGAAGAACGAATGAGAGTTAGTTGTTTGCAGCTTGCCATGTCCAACCAGTTAGGTAGCTAGCAAAAATGTACTTACTCTTTTTTCCACCAAACAATCGGGTTGGTGGATGATGATTCTCGTCACCACTGCTGGGACTACGGCTTCCCACGTCACTGTTACTACTTCCTTGACTGCCTAGCCTCTTGACTCTTAGTTCCTCTTCACTACTTTCAGCACTACTACTGGATTTTCCCAGTTGCAACGCGGAGTACTCCATGGGCAATGTCAAGGCACTGCTGTTCCTGTGGAATTGAGTAGATTCGTGAAACATGGTTTGAATGCGTTGGGCATTGGCACTTCCCAACTTGATGGAATGGACGCGCGCCATTTGAATCGAGTCTTCCACACCCAACTCCACCGCTTCTTCTTCCCCACAACTACAACAACAGAGACACCCACCACAGTCAACACAGGATTGTTTCTTGTCCTTGTTGGGTGTTTTCTTTTTCTGGAGCGCCACCAATTGCGGCACAACCGCCACACCGTTGGGACTCATGTGTCCCACGGCCAACAATTGGACGCATTGACTGCCACGGGAACAAGAGGGAGGTTGGAGGGTGGACATGTCGTCATCCGACAGTGGAAAGTCAGAAGCAGTCAAGGTAGTGGCGGAAGAAGAGGCGGTGAGGGAAGCATCACTGCGATGATTGCGGGGTGGTGGAGTCACGGGGTGCACCATGGCGGCACTGCTGCGAGGAGGACTGTTGCTGGGAAGCTCTGGTTGTGGTGGACTGTTGGTGCTAATCATGGTCCTGTTGCCCGATTGGGGGGAGGAGTGGTCGTTGCTGTTGCTGTTGTTGTGGATCATTGTGATGAGAATGTTCGCTTCTGGCTAGTAGGTAGAAGACCGATGGACGAAAGGAAATGAAAGGAGGAGGACTAAAATGTGCGTACTGTACTCGTATGCGTTGGGGAGGAAGTAACGGGATTTTCAGATTGAGTTTCTCTGGAGGGATCTAGTCTATAGACTTTGTTGTCTATCTTCCTTTTCTTGTGTCGTCAAGAGACAAGAGGAAAGAAATCTGGCACTGGAAGCTTTCAACTTCTAATAACTACTAACTGTAACTGTTGCAAATGCTTTCTCAACAGCAAGCTCCTTGTCCTTGCACTGATGAACTCCAATCAATCGAATTGTGTGGAGTTGCATCCCGAAGAGGTGGTGGATTGGCCTCCCACAGAGCTGGCTCGCGTCGGAATCACATTTTGTGAGCAAAACTTTTTCAAAATTTTTGGGGGGGATGTCACAATCATAATTCAAAATGGGGTGCTCGAATAGGGGTGGCGATAGTTGCGGGAATTCAGTGTAATGGCAGAAAATAAATCATCTGGTTGATCCTGATCCAAATCGAATGAATCAAAGGCATGGTGTATGGAAGATGTATGTGTCTTCTTGGATGATTCTTGGGTTCGGTACGGTACCAGTACGGTAGCCCAGGGAAGAGATTATTCCTCCTGGGATAAAAATGGAAGTAGCGAGAACAGGTCAAGTGGCTTGAGCTCTTGTGCAATCCGAATTGAAATGCAGACCAGCCAGTACTGTTACCTACCATCCGCCTCTCTCGCTTCCTTTTTATTAAAGTGAGACACTTACGGTATTGACGATATGATATCATATCCTGCACCTAGAGACTCTTTTCTTCTGCATTTTTACGATCTTTACCAACTAGCTGGTTAAGGGAGGAAACTCTGTTGTCTAACGTCCTCTGATTTGAAATGGCTTTATCTAGCTAGTCTTCATCTGGCTACAATCCAATACTGAGCACCAGTATTATGAATGTTGGTCCTTGACGGCAGAGGTGCGGTGTAAAGTCGCTGGCAAAGCAGAGGTACGCTATATGTAGATTACTGCACGTAATGCTTTTAAAAGTTCATTCTGCAATAGATCCATCTGACTGACTTATCAGTCTCGTCAAGCAATCTACCGGTACTATGTTGGCTTATCAAGTGATCATGCCACAGGCAACACATGATTATGGACAAGATACATAGAGACTATCACTCAACAGGAACCAAGGAGCATGGATCATGAGGTGGATCAGAGCTCCAAAGCCTAGTGGTACCGTACATACTATGCATACAGTACTGTACGCAACAATGTAGCTCCGTACGGTAGACATGGCTTCACTCAATGCTGTATTTCCTGCTAAAATTCAAAAAGGGGTGAAAATTGGGGGATTTAAACTGAATCGGAGTATCGACCAGAAAGGAGGGAACACGGTCTCGATTTGGGACAAACTTGCCTACGTAACCCTACGAAAGCTACAGACGACCGATGCCACTTTGAAGTAGAGTATAAGTGGTGACAAATGTTGACGTTGCCTTTTGCGCTTTTACAATCCGATCCTTAACAATTTTCTTGAAACTCCGAACTGGACTGGGATTAAAAAATGAGGGGGCAAACAATAGACCTTCTGTTGTGTTTCCCCCTTTTATCTATAGCCTTTCTCCCAAAAACCCAAGAAACGGATATTGCCTCCAGCGCATTGGCGTACTGGCTATTTGGCGGTCTTTCATACAAAGTCCCACAGTCAACGTGCCCCTTTAGTGTCGCCAAATCAGTGACTGAGATAACCTTTCCCACTCCCGTGTACTCACACATGGGTCTGCAATATGGAAGGCAAGGTTTATGCCGCCGACCAAGAATTTTGCCATAGCCAGATTGAATGCTTCTAACGCATCGAATATTCTTAGTATTATGCCGACCGTGATGGTTGCTGCTATGGTTTCAGTCTGGTTTGGCGGTGGCATAAAAGGTAGGTGTTCAGCAGGTACAGGAAGTCAAAAGTCAATCCTGTATTGGTCCTGTCCGAAACTGGTCCTGTTTGGTTGAGCGATCTGAAGGAATTTGGCTAGTAGTAGGAGCGATGCATCACACGAAGAAACAACAATACTATTGCATTCAAGCGAGGCGTATTAGAAGCGACGACAAAGAGCTCAGCCGCTTTTAGACAACATCTTGTTGTTTGCCTCCAGTTACGGGGTTCAAAACTCGGTTGTCTGGCTACATGACATGTAGTTAGCAAAAGATTCTAATGGGTTGGCTGAAAGATCCGGAGCCGCGAGTGTAAGTGGGTGCACCGCCCGCGCAGAGGTTGGAGCTCACAAAAGGCACTCTGGCTGGAGCAACGTTGCCGGTGCTGGTGGTCTGCCAATGATAGGGCGATCAACATCTGGCTGATCCTGGGAAAGAAGTCGCCAAAACAATATGAGCTGCATTTGGTAACCAGTGAGGATGGGTTGCTTGACGCTCCTTCATTCGTTCATTTACTTTGTGCTGGGAGGGCGGCTTGGCCGTGGATGAGCAACAAGAACACAACCTGGGGAGCGTACGCTCACTCAGCCGCCGGCAGCCGCTCAGATACTACTTACTAGTCCACATACAGCCAGCCATGTAGTAGTTTGCAGCAATTCTTCTGGGAACTCAAAACTTCCGATAGCATTGGTTGTCTCCCACGCCCAGTTTGGGCACCTCTGTTGTTCCCTTCCACAATCCTTCAACGAGGCTTTGCGCCTTCATAACCTTTGAAAGAGGGATCTCGGACACTTCCTTCTCTGTTCCTGGGTGACTTCTACGGGAACCCTAACCCTCCCTCTGGTACTGCAGCCCTGTGGGGCTCCCCCCTGGGTTTCCGGCAAACATTCCCAAACATGCCTCCTCTAACTGCCAGTACTAATAGGGACTGGCCTGAGCAGCTCAAATCAGTCCCTAGTTACCGGTTGGCTCCTTTGCCGCCATGCCTGGCTCTGAGAGCATGGTGGCCCCCCTGACAGTAACAAATAATGCACCGGAGCATTCAAAAATGAACCACCAGGCCTGTTGTTGCTGCCATGGTGGCATGGTAGTGCTGCTGCCATCATAGTGTCTTTATTGAGATAATTAACCAAGCTTTCTTGCTGTCATCCATAGTATTAGTAGAAGATGAGTGGTCTTCCTGATCTTGCCAGAGCTAGGGAAGAAAACGCTGCTGCTAGCGAGCTAACGGATAGTATCCCCCAAATTCTGGTTGACGACAATGGCGACCCAATCAATGAGGGAGACGATGCTGATGAAATCCCACAGCCAGAGCTGACTGATGGCAGGGGCCAAGCAAATTCAAAACCGAAGTATCAGAAGAAGTCGGGCTTCAAAAGCCAAAGATGGTTGATTTGTACGCTGGCATGAGACAGGCAGATATATGTACTAAGTCCACGGAGGATTTCTTTGGTCCAATCTGGCCTCGATGGCACTTCTTTTGTGAATCGATAGTCTCGAATAGGGAACCATGGGAAGTCAAATTTGGCTTGCAGCTGTACGACCAGCGGAAACTGACAGATATTCAAAACTCCAACCTGTATGACAAGGAACTACCGGTGCAATTCTTCCAGTGGCTTATGGAAGAATGTGGTGGCTGCAAATCAGTCATGGCTAAAGCAAAGACCTTTCTCAATACTAATATAAAATGCGAGCATTACTGCCGCCTAGTCGAAGCTGGGTTTGCTGGTATTCTGAGCAGATCAAAGTTGGCGAGTCACTGTCAATCCAGAACTCTTGCAAAGCAGTACAGAGTCAAGCTGCATCCAGGGTTCTTAATAATTGTGAGGATATACAGGCTCAGCTACAGCAATGGGTGTCCTTGGACCAGATACGAGAGATGGCACTGTCAGCATTCAATCCTAAGGCGGGTGGTCCAGTATCTAAGCTGAAACCCAGCAATGCGATCTATTTTATGTGCCACTATCACACAATGAGTGCCACTACCCGAAGAAGTGAAGAGTTTGTTGGACAAAGAATGATTCAACGAGCCTACAAGTTCATGGAAGCTATTGGTCCATCTGGTATTGGAGCATCTCAGATTGTGACTAACAAGGCAAAGCACAACAAGGTCGGGTGGCTAGAGTATACTGTAGCCATCCCCCACAGAGATCCATTGAGAGATTCCAGCAGCTGGCATGGTCTCCTTTTTCTCTGGCAGCTGATAGTGGAGAAAAGGAGACTGCCTGATTTGTCTGGCAATAACTACAAAGCTATCTTTGATGTATTAACGTATCCATCATCAGAGGACGCAGACAAGACTATCTCATCTCGACAAGTTGCTGCCAACTTCGGAAGCTTCTACTCGGAAGCTGACGTGATATGTGCAAAGGTCACACATCAGCCACGTTTCCAATCGATCCAGCAAATGGATATGCTTGGCATTCCAGAACCTGTACAGTGTCGAATGACTGGGCACAAAGGGAAGGGTCAAACGGTCCATCAAAGAAGCTATGCCAACAACCCCCCCACTGCTGGTATCGTCCAAAGGGCCGGTGGTGACCACCACTGCCCCCAACAGTACAGTACTACTCCATTCCAGCTTACAGTGCAAGAAAAGGTGTGGGTCAATGAGATCCGATGTGCTCTTATTCCAGAGATCGAAGAGTGGTACAAAACAATCTGCAGGGATTTCAACTCGGCTACTTCAGCAGCTGAGAGGACATCGAAGCGGTTGTACACCAAAAAAGGAATGGTGGCTTCTATTCGATGGGACGTGGAAAGCTGTATCGTGATGCTAGCTACACCGGAGCTGCACCCAAGAACCTTTAAACTACTGCCCAACTCCAACCTGAGTATCTTTCAACGATACCGGAACGACAGATTTGCTGTTCTGTTAAACCACTCAGCATTCAATCTACCAGCATTCTCACTGCTGGAGCAGTCAATTCTCAGTCGACTCAAAGCCAAGGACACAATCAACTCTATGTTCAGTGTTGAGAATCCAGATAATGTATCCAACATGGAACAGTTGCTAGTCCAGTATGTCAGCCGTCCCCTTATGCAAATGCAACAGGTGCAACAGGCAGCTTTCTCAGAAATGCGACAAATGCAGAATCATTCCAGTTCCTTCGCAGCAGCCAGCAGGAGACCTACTACAGAGCAGGGAAGTGTTGCCATTACTCCTTCCCCCACGTCTGCCGGCAAAAGAAACAGCAGCGCTCTAGCTGATGGAGTAACTGCAAGGAAACGACGACCACCAGTGAAACAGCACGAGTCCATATCTCAAGAACTCAGAAACCGGACAAGCAATGGTGAGACCAGGAAGCCGACAAGCAATGGTCAAGCTGAGATGGTTGTTCTATGTGACAATGACTGCACAACTTTTGAAGAGCACTGGAAACACTACTGCAAGCACTACCGGCAATTAGAGAAGGAAACTGGTGGCCGTTGGAGGCAGGATTTGGGTGGGCGCCAGAGGACACAGTGGTGGACACAGCGAAGTGGCATGTCTCGATTGATGGAGTACTATCTTGAATCTGGACTTACAGAAGAGGAAGCATTGGAAAAGTGCTCTGCAATATACGATTCGATAGAGAAGGGAAAACGTGCCAAGAAGCCAAGGGTTAAGGCCATCGACAAAGCATTCAAAGCCAAGTTGGCGGAATTGGGAATCAAACCAAAGGGTAGGCCCAAAGGCAAACAATCCACCACTCCTGCCAAGCAATGTACTGGAGCTAGAGCTGGAGCGCCAGACACAAATGAACCTGACGAAACCACAAGGAGGAGAACAGCTGCTAGGAGAACTTCACCGGAAACCACTGAGGATCAATTTGGGGACGTATTTGGAGCAATTGTTTACCAGAATCCCTTCACTCGACAAATATTTGATGAGGCAATGCAGGAGTCAGAAACCCGGAGACAACAACATTTAGAGGAAATTCAAACAGCAAAGGACCAGCAACAGAGATACAACAATGAACAGAGGTGGCTATATGCCAACCGGAATTTACCTCCTGGTGTGCCAATACCACCTATGCCAGCGGGATATGGTACATTGCATGCACCACCTTGGAGACCATTTGAGGGACAGCCAGAAATCCAACTGCCGAATGGGCATCAATATGCAATAATACACTGACTAAATAAAGCTTAGATACTAAGGACGACTAATAAAATTATATATCCCACGGTTAACAGCCATAGTGTTCGATTTCAGAAGCATTGTCAGCTCCCCTCTCTCCATCCGATAAGTGAACAGTATCACGGAAATCCGCATGGAACACATCTCTTCCTGGCCTGATTACCCAAGCACTGGGTAGCATGGGACACATAATTTGCCCCACACCTCGCCTCTCCAGTCTCTTTCCAAGTTTTACCAGATTTCCTTGCTCATAAGTATGGACCCTGGCAACCAAGCCCAACGTCTCAATCATATGTCCCTTTCTGGTGTCGCAATGGGCAGCTACCGACTGAAAGTTAATTAGCTGCCCAATCTGGAGCACATATTCCAAGATGAAACACTGGAAATTCGTGAGCTTTTTGTCAATTTTCTGCCACTTGGTTTTGTTGGCAAGATATCCAGGCCAGGCATCGATAAAATGTTGCCAAACCTTAGCCTTTTCACCGTTGTCCAAGCTGGTTGGACAGCCAAGAGAACCACCATCCACTTCCAACGTGGTAATTACTAGCTGGTATTTCAGCCATGAAATATACTTGTCCATCATTGTCTTTCTGTAATGCGGCCGGGTTTCCATCCATTTGCGCCTATTCGATGAAGGCACCTTCAATCCTGCAATTTGAGATCGCATGGACACCTCGCATGTTTTTCCTTTGGCGGCTCGTGCGCTTCCCAAACTAGTATATTTCATTGAAGGGTTGATTGCAGTTCCCGTGGGAGCATGTTCCCAAGTACGGTTCAGCTTGCTCCCTTTGCTTACCATGGAGGGATTAAGGTGGTCCATGTCAGGTGGGAAAACCTCAACAGGACCTCCGGCAGGTCCACTGCGATTGTAAGTTGTGGGTTTTTGCAGGGACAGTTTTGTTATCTCCCTGGATCTTTCAATGAGATCTTCATACGGAGTCGGAACTGTATCCAGACCAGCATGGTTCCACTGGCAAACATGCTTACTAGGATACACGGGCCAGTATGCTACCTGCATGAATCCAGTATCATCAGCCTCAAACACCACATTGTCAGGAAATGTAAAACCAGCCGCAAAATATCCACCGGTGATCGAGTCCACCTCAGTCTTAAAAGTCATGTTGTTGTATTGGACGTCTAGCTTAGTTAACCTAACTAGCAATTCCTTCGGCATTGCCGCATCCCATCCATCCAATTTGGAAGGATCAATTTTTCCCGGGAACGATTCTCCTTCAAAGCTTCGTCCATGTTAATCGCAATCACTTTGCCTGATGGTAGTTCAGAGTACAATGCCCAATTGGCCATTGTGTCAAGATTGTTGCATTTCCCCACAAACCTTCGATAGGTTTCCTCATTGGCTAATTCTTCTGTAGATTCTCCTTCAAAGCTTTGTCCATGTTAATCGCAATCACTTTGCCTGATGGTAGTTCAGAGTATAATGCCCGATTGGCCATTGTGTCAAGATTGTTGCATTTCCCCACAAACCTCCGATAGGTTTCCTCATTGGCTAATTCTTCTGTAGATTTTTCCTTTGTAGAAGCAGCTGGTTGTTTTTCCTGTACTGAAATAGCAGCAGTCGTGGTAGTGGTAGCCTTGGTAGTGGTAGCCTTGGTAGTGGTAGCCTTGGTAGTGGTAGCCATGGTGGCAGTAGCCATGGTAGTGGTAGCCATGGTAGTGTTAGCCATGGTAGCTCCAGTACCCGTGACCACAAAATTATTTTTTTTCTTCTTCCTTGCAACTCTTCTTCGGAGAGCATCAATGGTATAATCTTTAAGAAGACCCTTGTCATTGCAGAAATCGAGCATGGATGGTCTTGGGTTTTTCTTCTGAGAGTCCACCCAGGATTGGAAGAATTGCTCAAACTCTTTTTCCGGCATGGTTTGTCTGTATTTCCTCTTGGGTAAACAATGGTTGTTGGTGGGGGCAGGAATATTCATGCTTGAATGAGTAGAAGAGAGAATGAATGGTATGCAACTGGTATCCACTCTTGCTGTAGTGGCAAATTGAAAATAGAAAAGCTTCGTGTTGTGGCTCCTGTTGTGACGCCTTGCTGTGGCTCCCAGTTGTGGCTCCTTGTACTTTAAAAATGTTGTTCTCACTGTGAAAGACAATGGATTGATTGTCCAGCACAATTTTGATTGTCTGTACCATCCCTGCACATTCATACACTGAGATACCGGTTTGGTAGCATTGGCATTGGTCTTCCATGCTCTCAAGGTTGCTTTTGGAGGGAAATGGAGCTGTTGCTGCTCAAAATTCGTCATATGGCGAAAATGGATCTTTTGGGCTCCTGCAAGGCACTCTGGGGCCACTGTGAGACTTTTTTACATGGTGGTTCAGCCCGGTAAGGGCTCAGGTGAGGTCAGGGGTTCAAATTTGACGGTTTTTGCTTTTTTTAAAAACTTTTTTGGGACTTTGCTCTGAATACCAGATTAGATATAACAAGTTAAAAAGCCCTTAATAAAATGCTTAGTACATTGGTATCTTTTGGTGCCTGCTGTTGTTGTTTTGGGCTTCGGCAGCAACAACCACCATAATATCAGCTCCCATTCCAGAGCCATGTTGCCGACCCACTACGAAGTATGTATTGAGAATGAAATACATGAAAAGGGACTAGTTTTAGACTACTAAAGATGTCCTTGATGGGTGGCTAAACTGATACCGAAAGGGGTACTTTCAGGGGTCAATTCTGAAGAAGTTGCCCTCGCGGACAGCTGTCGGCGTCTATTGCTGCGCCGACTTTGTCAGTTTCAGCAGTCCACTAGGGCCTACTGTAAGGATACACTTGCACCTGGGTCCTTCCCTCACAGGAACCCTCATTATCGAGTAGCTTCAATACCAGCAATTTCACGACCTGGCTGTCATCATGGTAGACCAGTTTGTTCATTCCATCCAGCACAAACTTCAGCATATTGTCAATGTCAGGAATGATTGGTCTCACAAAAGGAACTGAATTCTTGAGAATACCCATCAATCTCCTACTGCCTTTGAAGTCAGTATTGTGCAATTGGGTCTCCTCATCCAGAAGTGCACCTCCACAGTTACTGGCACACCGGTAGGGAACACCACTCCACTAGCTGTAGCTGGAACCAGATCTTTCACTGCTTGCCTGAATGATTGCTTCTCTTTACTTCCAGGATGGTACAGACCATACTTGCCCAACCTCATCCTCTTCTCAGGCAATGGCTTGCCTGGGACTTCAAAGCTGACCCTCACGGGCTCTTCTGTTAAGTCAACCACTTCCGGCATGGCTGCTTTGTTGTGATGGTTGCACAAACATGTTCAGTCTGTTTTGGGATAACACCAAACAGCCTTTGGGAGATCTTCTGTAGCTACAGAGGAGCAATTCGGTGGGGTTGGGATGACTTTTATTGTGCATTAAAAATGTTTGCTGAAAGAATGGGATAACTTCCCACAGCCACAACACTGCATGGAACTGCATGGCACTAGCAAAGGAAAGTTTGCCAGAAGGCTCTTCGGCAACACTCAACTGCCTGGTAAGGAACAGTGTGGAACATCTCTGCTGACAGGTGCTATTCTTTTTCGGTGATGTTCAGGAATGCTGGGACTATGTATTTAAGGGAGGGGTGGAGCATGCATAGGCAGGCTATGCTGGCAGCATAAGTACAAGCTGCCGGTGCTCTATCAAGCTCCCAGGCTTGGTCCCTGGCTTGGTACCAAAGCACACCGGTTATATAATATCTACATGATGAATACCTTAAAAACCAGAATGTCACCCCAACTGTTACTAGAGCCACCTTCCACTTCTCTGGCTCCATAGCTACTGCTGTACTGTACAGTACTAGCTAGCTAGGTGATGAAAGCGCAAGTCGTTTGCTCAAATCGATCGACTGGAAGGTACCAGGTAAACCATCCACCGCATGTGCTTGGATGGATCCAACATCAACGTAGCTTTTGCCGTGCAATACGTTGGAGCGGCGCCGTACGGTTCGGCATGGAGTGATCATCCAGATACCGGCACGGTTTAGATTGTGCGGCCTCTGTACGACGCAGAACGCCCACGCTGACCAATCTACCCCAGGTTCAGAGCGCATCTTTGTCATGAAAAGGCATACGACTGTACCCAAGACTTTTTGAAACAAGTTCTCATCCTTTTTTTAAAAAGCACTACACAATAGTTATATTATGCTCTTGACAGCCTTCAAACCTGGGGAAGATAGAGGCAGGTGCGCCCACACCACAACAATTCATCGTCTCTCGCTCCTCACTTGCTTCCTTAACAGAATGTACGAAGCGTGAAGGGAGCTACGCCGCCACCAGAGCTTGTGTATGGGATAGTGACTGCCTCGCCAAATGCAAGACCACTGCATTCTGAATAAGATGCAGAAAACCTCTCAAAATTGTCCAAGTCATCAACCACAACATCACAAACACCTTCGCAAACACCCCTAGTCATGTCAGGGACAGAAGCTACTTCGACCAATGTAGCATTTGGGAAGGACCTTTCAAGAAGACCAGCTTGAAGGGATCCAGGTACACCACAAATGGTAAATCCATCTCCCTGATTGGCAATGATGGAGGAAATGTCAATTGTTGCCAAGGATTGTGCGCCATAGCCAAGCTTGGAGGCACCCAGGGTGAAACAGGTGTAATCAAATACTTGTTCCCTTGGTGGCGTCCTGAAGAAAATGTCAGGCACTGCATAACAGTCCCCATTGGTCAGAGCCTCTGTCAAATCATCCATCCAACCATTGACATTTGGAACAAGAACAAATTCCGCAGAAAGTGGCCTGTGAAGAATCTTGGACATGGCAATCGTGATGGAGTTGCTGGTGTCAATCCAGACTCCCCAATAATCACCAGTAGAAATTCCTTGCAATGGATTGTCTTCCTCAGCAACAGCAACATAATTTGCATCTGGTGAACCAATAGCAAGCTCAGGAAGGCACCACTTGAACGTTCCTTCACCCATGGCTTTGGCCAAGATTCCCACGGGTTGCTCCATGCGATCCCATTCAGCCAGACACATGTCAGGATCTGCAACTGTAGCTGAAGAACCACCAGGGAAGCCAGCATTGTATTCCTTGATGCGTTTCATGGTGCCATCTGCAAGAATCTGCTTGATGGCTGCCGACATGACAGTGTTCACTTGGAGGGATCCCCTTGCATTTACACTGCATCCATTGACCTCAACGTTAAAATCTTCAGCAATACTCTCGCCCTGGAGGCTGCGTCGCACGTCTCCTCTTCCGGAGGATGTAGGCATGAAAGCACCGAGTGCCATCCAAAGAGAAACGGAGAACTTCATTTTCTTACCTACTTTCGTTGATCGTCAGTCCGTCAATTTTATCCTCCTTTGTGAGAAAGAAATTATGAGGGGATTGGGGTATTGGGGCTTGATTTGAGCTTGATTTGAGCTGTACTGTGCCGATCGAGGCTTTACTTACTATTCCGGCAATTTGGCTTGACATCAAACTTTATTTGTTTCTACAGGCAAACCGTAGCTAACTATCTTTGGCATCATTGACGTTCGAGCTTGAGGTGCAGTGCGTGCCGCTACAGTATGACACGCGAGCATCTGAATTGCTCTACATCAGAATAGATAATAAGCATGGGCAAAGCGATGAACTGACACAATGATGTCTCATTGTTTGGCCAGACCAACGGAAATTTGTTTTTTCCCACCGACATGTACGTACATACACGTACAATACTCCCGTACGTACCATCCTCAAGCTAAAAGTAGCCACCAAGCGGAAGCTGTATTGCAAAAGATCTTCTACAGCTAGCTACTAACTAGAAAGGGTCCGCATACCACGTACCACTGGTACCAGGAAGACACGGTAATTACTGAATATTGCTAATTATGGGCCAAGGTCCCGTGACAGCAGTTCGCGCACAGGGTTTCCAAATTTTTTGAAAACCCCCTGGTTCTGAATCTTGCTGAAACGTGCTGAAATTTTAAAATTTTGCTGAAATTTGAATTCTGAATTTTGCTGAAACGATCTTACGGTTTCTGAAAGTTGCTGAAAGTTGCTGACGGATGCTGACGTCATGCTGAAAGTTGCTGAAAGTTGCTGAAAGCTTCTGAAAGCTTCTGAAACGTTTAATTCTAATGCTCCGTACCTTCGGCACAACAACGGCATCAGCATCAGCATGGTATCTACACATACTAGCAAGAGCAACGCGATGCCTCAGCACCCACATCAATACTGCAAACTAGCTAGAATGACAACAACGGCGTCTACTAAAGCTTACAATGGAGGATATGGATCTAGAAGCCGTTGCGTCCCATTGTTCAGCTGTAACTGAACAAGGGCGCAAACAGCATGTGTTGCTTGCCGATGGTGCTCCAACAGCATTTCCTCGGATGGAAAGCCTCGGTGTCGAAACTTGTGCTTCAAGATGCCAAAGCATTTCACTCGTTGATTGAAATTCTCATGACGAGACAGCACTCGATCTTTAAACTTAGAGATTGGTTTTGGGTCCAGATCATTCTTTGTGCTGACATACTCCCTCTCCGATTGATAGATATCATCTGCAAGCACTCGAGTATCGGCTGGAAGCTCTCCTTTTAGCTTGTCTCGAAAGACAACCAAATCATTCATCTCCCCAGGTTTTGTTGGCCCGTGGATCCACCCAAGTTGTGGTTTGTGTGTCAGCACACCAAATTCATAGTTGAGGGCAGGCTTTCCCCCAAACTTGTGACTGCTCCACTTTTTGGACCAAGGTCTTGGCTCTTCGATGGGGCAGTGTACTCCATCAATTGACATGAACAAGATAAGACCTTCGTGGTTGTCGTGTAAAGTTCCAATCAAATCTGGCAACAGCCGAGAGATTCTTTTGACATAGAGCTTGGCCCATTTTCGCACAGTTTTCTCTGTTTTGATGTTGAAAAATGAGGCAAGATCTGCCTCAGTATGATACTTGAAAAGGTGTCTGATAGCAATGAGAAGATGCTTTGGTTTAGCTTTCTTTTCAAGTCTAATGTCAGGGTCATTGCTTTCTCGTAGGAGTAACCAACAATCAGCAACAGTTTCTGGTTTCATACCAAAGTGTTGTTTGAATCGCTCAATAGATCTACTCTCTTTGTAGTGCTTCCAGTTGGGAAATCTGGCATAACGGAGGCCAAGATTCATAAAGTGTCGGGCAGAGTAGGCCTTGGCCGTCGTTTGATCTACGGATCCGGCCATGGCCAACTGATTCGCGCAAATAGTGTGTTTTGCTTCTTGCTTGTAAGTTGAAAAAAATTTGCTTCCGAGGAAGAACCCAGAAAGTCCGCCAACTCCGACCTGTGACAGCTAAATCCGTCCTCAAAGTGTCGCATTTGCTAACAATAGTTTGTCTTTGCTGCCAGCCTAACGTATGCATGTATACATTAATGGTAAAGCTATTGAAATCTGTTGCTTCCCCGGATCTTTTGACAGCATCAAAAATGCCTCGAGGCAGTCACCAGCCACAACAGCAAACTCTCCAGTTTGGGTCTGGCAATGGGGAAAGGCGACGAGAAGCCTTTGACGGAGAGAGCTCGACACCAGCTTGTGTGTGATATTGAGGCACACCTCTCATTCCAGCCGCAGCAGATCATATCGTTGCGGCCGGAGATCTACAAAGGAAAGTACAAGCGAGCGGCGCAAAATCGGATCAACTATTTGCTTGGTTTGAAAAACAAAAAGCCAACCAAATACTATCAGACTCTGGCCGCTGCCCAGACATTCTTGTCTACGGCAGCACAAGCTCCTATTACCGAATCGGCTGATTCTTCTGACAGCGAGGAGCTTCTTACGGTTGCAACCCCTCGTGATTTGGACGAATCAAGCAGTTCAAACGAGCGGGAGCTTCTGGAGCCAATTGATCAACAATTTCGCCGTCGGAAAGCCGACGTTACTACACCGTCGAAAGCAAAGCCACCAAAGACACCGTCGAAAGCAAAGACACCGTCGAAATCAAAGCCACCCCTCAAGTCAACACCTGCCAAGTCAACACCTGCCAAGGGAAGGGCACCTCCTCCACTCGAAACGATCAACTTTGAAACGTCCAAGACACCCAACAAAGCGGCACGAAACCTACTTGCGTCTCCGTTGTCTACCATGTCTGGCATCACTACCCATAGTGGTGATCTCAAAACCGGCCTTATTCGATTCAAAGATGTTGATGAAGCGATGGCGTACGCTGATGACGTGATTAATGTCGAATTTGATTTACCGGAAGACAATGCTCATGGCCTTTTGTTTCAGAAGATCGATGATGTGAAACTCACCCAGACTGAACTGGTTACGAAGCTTAAGATCATGAATCCAATGTTTATGGATTTGCGCGATTTCAAGAACGTTTCTTGCTTCATTATTTGCCAAGGTGCTGCTTTGATGATTACTATGAATGTCTTGCCTTATTATGTTGTTCAAGAGCATCGGGAATTGCTTTCTCTGGAAGAGCGTCCTTGTGAGCAGACTGCCAACAAGACTGCAACTTTGATGACGGCTATTGCTGCGGACAAGTCGCGACTGTTGAAGCACATTTTGGTGTTGATGCCGGAAGGGCTCGGTCTTACTGCTGACTTCTCTGAGAATATCGGCCGTCATGATATCAAAGTGCATGCCAAAGTCCGCGAGAAGACAAGCACTTTCATGGCTTCAGGGCGTCCCATGACACAGCTCTTTTTCAATTTGTATTGGCAGGTCCGGATTGTCAAAGCAGAGCGCCAGCTCATGGAAGCCCTTCCTGATGATGACCTTGGGCTTGAGGCAGCATTCTCAGGTATGGCAGGGTTGAAGGAATGATTGAATTAGTTGTAAGCGATGATATTAGTTGTGCTTATTCCAGTTGTTGCTTTATTCTCTCGTTCGCAGGAATTTCTATGACGCCCGCTGCTGCTCCAAAACAGCAAGCACCACCTGCTCCACGTCCTGTACAGCAAGCATCTGTTGCCTCGGCCCGTGTGCTTGGATCCCATTCTTTTTTCAGGCAGAAAAAGAACGCTCCAGTCGCCATGGAGACAACTCCCTCGGCTTCATTTGCCAGTGCTATTGCTACCAAGCAATCGTCAACAAGATGCCCGGCAGTGCCAACTCATCCTGTGCAGCCAACGCCTGTACCGATTACAAGCTCATCGTTTCCAACAGTGCCTACTCATCAAGTTGGTTCGAGTGTTCCTGTGGTGCCTACTCAAGTTGGTTCGAGTGCGAGTGCAGCAGCAGCTGCTCCAGCACCAATTCAGGTGCCAACATTTTCCCAGAAGACGTATGCATCTGCCGCGGATAGATACAACCAGGGCAGTCGGCTTGCAAATGCCATGAGCCTTCGTGACGAAAGAAACACAATCATTGGTCGAACTCGTGACGCAAAGAGAGCCCAGAAGCTTGCTCGAATTCGGCAACAACAACAAGCAGCTGCACCACAGCAGCAACAACAGCAAGCAACTGCACCACAGCAGCAGCAGCAACAACAACAAGCAGCTGCACCACAGCAAGAGCTTGCTTCTAATAGCGGAGAAACGGGGGATGCTGCTTGGAATCAAAGTATCAATGATCTAGAGACTGAGCTCAAAGCAGAAAAGGAACAATTCAACCAACTTTTCAGCAACAAAGAGGAGAATCCTTTTGCCGGTGATGAAGAGGGTGATGAAGAGAGTGGTATGAGTGAAAATGAATGAGAATAGCCAGCATAATTGGGGCTTTTACATTTATTTCTTATTCCTCGTCTGCCGCTGCTTTGGCCTCTCGTTCTTTCATCATGTCCGATAGCTTCTCCGACACTTCTTTGGGAAGCACCGTCTCACGTGGCTGGATGTTGTAGCGCTGACGAAGCTTTTTCTTCTCAAACCTAGCCTTTCGAGAGAATCTCTTGTCAATTTCTTGGTAGATATGCTTTCGGAAAACACTCAACGGGAACTCCTGGTACTCATCACGTGTCTCCCAAAGCTCTGTTGGTGTCAAGCCAAGCTGTCGGTTGTGATCAATATCGCTTTCCAAACTCTTGCTTGCTTGATGAGTATCCCAATTCGGATATGGGTGCGGATGGGGAAGAGGATTTTGCTGCCGCAAAATAGCTACACGATCCATGTCACTGGCGTAAGCTACCGAATCCGTAACAACACGTTCATAGTCTCTATTAATCTTGGCTCGTAGTGTATACAAGTTCGAGCGAAAGCGATGATATGGGAACTCTTGAAACTCGGGACGCGAGTTGTAGATTTGAGAGGCCGTGAAATTAGAGGGGGCCTCTCCACTGATGAGATCTTCACGAAGCAGCACTTTTGCTTTGCTTTTCCCCCACTCGTCGTCATCTTGGTCTTCGTTGTCAGCGTCTTTCTCCTCCTCCCCCCCTTCGTTGTCTTCTACTTCAGATGAGGACATCATTATTTGTTTGTTCTTGTTGTTGTTGTTGGGCCTTTCGGTGCTGTTGCTGCTGCTTCTGAAAGGTGCTGAAAGTTGCTGAAAGTTGCTGAAAGTTGCTTAACGGTTGCTGACGTGTGATGACGATTGCTGAAATCTGCTGAAAACTGCTGACGTTTGCTGAAAACTGCTGAAAATTTCTGAATTGCTGATTTTCAAAATGCTGAATTTTGCTGAAAGTTGCTGACGGGCGGTTTCAAAAATATTTGTAAGCCCAGTCAGCAGATCGCTGGCACTTTGGCATTCACGACTAAATCTTAATGGGTTTCAATAATTGTCGTGTCTTCCTGGTGGTGCCGCCATCCACGGTGATTCGATTCGATTCTACGATGTAGCTAGCCGCTCTTGTCAGCTTCATGATATGAATCGAATCGTAATATACTAATATCTGCTGGCATCCAAATGCCTGGGCGTCCTTATGCCCCAGTCCTGGTCCGACACCAGGCCAATTCCAGAACCTATACCATGCTCAATGCCTGGATCAACTCCAGTACTACCTACACCAGGATCTAAACCACTAGTAGACTCCAAAACTGCCTGAAAGTTCTTATGCCCTGACCATCGCCTGGACTGACTCTTGAACCGACCCTTGGTCCATTTCCAGGGCCCACTTCTGGACTGGCAGCCTCCGTCCACAGCGAGAGCTCAGCGTCTTTTTGCTTCGACCTCGGTATTGTTGGACGGTACCTTATTTCTTCAAATGTCTCTTTAGAAAGCTTCCCCTATTTCTCTTTCCTACCGGTATGACATACCTTAAATACTCCTGTCATCTAAGCAATAAAATATTATTGCAGGATTTCTGCAGCAGCAAAATCTTTCCGCAAAGAACACAGTGGCAAGGAAACTTTGAAAGTAAAAGGTATCTTTCGCAAGAACAGTTGGGGTTGTCATGAAGAGGTTTGATTGTCAATGGAATGGCCAAGAAGGAAGTGTGTCCATCACTGATGATGCCCTGATCATCTATCCCTCTGTGGATGGTTCCACAGCTGAACGTTGGAGTGAAGATGACGGCGAATTAACAGGAAATGGGTATGTTGATGGCAATGTTCTTTATGAGGATGAGAGTGACAGCGATGATGATTGCGTGACTTTGGAGGGGGTCGCTACTACTGGTACCATGAGTGTGACTTGGAAATGGTGGACAGTGACCAAGGTGGTTCATGTGAAAAAGACGCGTTTAGTGATTTCTTTTCGCAAACCAGAGCAAACCATGGAGCTTCGATTCAGGACTCTGCTGGGACAAGAAGAAGCCACCAGTCTCATGTTGAGGGCACTCAACATGGACAAGCAAAGGAGGACAGTCAGCACCAATAGATCCTTCTCTGCCAAGGTCAAGGAAGGACTCCAAGAGGAAGCTCCCCGCGAAGAATCCACACGAGACAAAGGCCAGCCAGTCGAGGACAATAAGCTTGTGGAGGACAAGTTTGACGACGAGGATGTTTCACAGGTCAGCGGCAGCCTGACAGGCAAGACAAACTACCTTGGGAATGGCAAGGTGGTGGAAGAGCAAGAGATCCACTGCAAGAATTCCCCCAACACTGTTACAACAACCAACAATGATGCGAAAATCATGGCGCTAATGGAAGAACGCATCCGGCTCCTGGAAGAACAAACACACAAAGATGAGCGAATCACAGAATTGATGACACGCATTGAAAAGCTCGAACACAACACCAAGGACCTAGATGATACTTCCATGGAGGGACACTCGCCCTCCCTGATAAAACGATTGGGGCAGTGCTTGGTCCAACATGTGCGCACCATCTCCAACGTTGTCTTTACCTGGAAGACGGCACTCCTTGTGGTTTTGGTGACTTTGATTTGCCAGATTTTGTTTCTAATGATATACACCTCCCTGACCCGAAACGATTGCATGACTGTCATCAGGTGTGTATCGTATCGTAGAAGCTTGGATTCAGAAATGCGGAGAGAAGGGACATCTACTGGAGACATGCGAAAAGGGAATGCCAAACTCATCTGTATCTTTGTTTCTTGCTTATCTCAATTTTATTAGTATGATCGACGAAGACTGGAGTGTAGAACACATCACAAATCAGTACGATCCCAGCAACGGGCAATTCATTTGCAGTACGGTAAGTATTTCTATGCTAAGAAGGTGATCCACTACGAATATCAACAATCTCACATAAAAGTGTGTCTCCGTTGCCCACTACCCTTACCGTGTAATTCAACAATAGTCCACAATCAACATGCAAACTTACTTGACAACAAATGAAAAGTACCAGCAGTTCTTCTCTCAGGAACATGGACACTCCGACACAATTGTGGATCTTTCGAGATTTGGCTACGACTTTGCTGCCCCTGGCTGGAAGGGAATTCCAACTCAGTTGCCATTTGGACCAATCTTCGACCCCAACAACATTGCCCAAGACCAGACCGGGCATTGGCATCGGTTTTCTCAAGACGCTCTTTGGAACGACGAATACTATTATTATTCAGGCGCCTGTGCCGAAGCTTGTGCCACTGTTGTTGCTGACTTTGGATTCCACGCTTACAATCCCAAAGAGCATACCTATGACTGTTGGTGCGGATATGATGACAACAACAACAACAGCAACAACCAAAATGTAACATCACGTGTTTGTCTTGCCAACTACAACACCTCAATTCACAAGTACCATGATTGCACTGTCCCATTGGTACCGGGAACAGACCGGCCCAGTGTGGAGGATTTCATGGCACAGCAAATTTACAATGATGACTACCTGGATTCGGAACTGGACCGGAAATTCTTTCACAGTACCAATTCTACAGAATACTTTCTTTGGAACGACACGTTCTTTCGATCGGCCCCAATTGTGGTCTTCTCCAAACGTCATCTAAGTTTGTTTGATGACTGCAATGAAAGTGAGCTAAAAGATCTTTGCCAGTTCCCTGGTGATCTTGATGCTACCAACAGTTCCAATAGAAATGTGCCCACAGGAGAGCCCATGATTGACACGGATGAACGTACCTGGGGAGATGACACCTTTCTAGGCGACAGGTATGCAGCTGGTAAGTGGGTACCGTGTTCCCTGTGGCCCCTTTCCTGTGAAGACTACAACAAGAATGCCGATGTGTGTGGCGGGCAAGATCAAATCCGATGCGGGCTTACTGCAGAACAGCAATCAGAGACCCAACATCAACATGAGATTTGGTGCGATGGCCTTCTTTCTATACACTATGTCACTTGCCCTGGCCTCCTCGTGGCTCTTGGCGCCAGCATGGGGTACCTTGTCTATGTGGAAGCTGCCGTTGTGGGGACCATTGCTGTGATTTACACGTGCGTGAAGAAACGGAAGGAAAACCATGAAACAGTGGTGACAACGGCTGCAGTGGGGGGTTCCTTTTGGGATGCTTTACTCCGAGGATAGCAGTGGCTGCCAGGCAGCTGTACTTTTTATATTGTATTAGTAGATGATTTTAAAATGCATAGCCGCGGAAACAGTGCAACTCGTTGATGCTTTGAGCTTGTCTTCCACATTCATTTCGGGTCCCCTGACAAAGCAAAACACGAGAATCAAAACGAAAGACAAACTTCAAAGATGTCGTCGTAATCCGCCGCTGCCTTCGTTTGATTTATCATACAACATGCAACTATTATTATTAAGTTATGGCTGTCATTGCTCCGGATTGGAAGCTTTTTTTAGTAAATACTACTGCGCATACCTGATTTCCATTGTGCTCATCATAGGTTGCTCCCCGTGTGTGTGCGTGCGTGCGTACGTCCAGGAGACATGTGGATTCTGTTTTTCCAGAGGTTGTTTCATACACAACCCAAATAGATTCGATTCGATAGTTGAGTGCTCGACGTCCTTCTAGGTGCCCGGTTTTGCATAGCAGTAGTCCATTCCCTGAACCCGCAAAAGTTTCCAGAGTTAGTTAGTTTGGCTAGATGTTTCCCCCCTGGAAATCGAAATCCAGCACGCACTGCACTTACCGGCACTCCATCTCCAAAACAGCCCGGGGGTGTTTCCCATTTATTCCATCGATTGCGCTGAAAACATTTCAAAGATCCTTCGCAATCATCATCGGTATAGCAATGTCCCTGGCAGAGTCCACAGGGTGTGACATCTTTGCAACTGGGATTGCTACGTCGTTCTCCAATGCGATAGTACCGATTGGGCCGAAAGTCCGTATCCAACTCGCTTCGAAAAATTTGCGGCGTGTTTTGTTCGTAGACGGCAATCCAACGATTGGTGCGATCTCCCCGTGTTTCCTCGCAATCGGTATGATAAATGCCTTCAAATTGACGGGGATGATGGGGCATGGTGAGACAATGGTCTTTTTTTACCGTGGTGGTGGGCAGATTGTTGGGCGGGTTGTAGAGTTCAAAGGCATTGTTGGGATCAAATCCAGTAAACCATTGCTTGTAGCTTTGAACGCTGCATTCTTGAAGTGTATAGCGACGATCACCAACTTTTTCCAGACACAGGTATCCTTTGATGTCCTGGTCCCATTCGGCAGATTGCAACTGCCCAAAGACTTCGGTAGCCCTCAAGGAGGGATTGGGATAGACATTCGCTGGCACGGGTAGCCATTCAAAGAGTTGCATGGGTGGTTTGTCGAAACGGCATGGTTCCACCCACAAGATATCACCGACATTGCACCTGTATCCTTCGCATTGCATGCACCAGTGGGACTCATTGTTGCAATCTTCTTGCCAGCAGGATCTTTGATGCCAGAAGAGTTTGAGCTGAAACGGACCGCGGTAGTTCGTAGGTGCCCCGGTAGGAGGGGAAGTGGGACGCAGAGAGGGTTGTTCGGAAGGACGGGAAGAAGGCCTGGAAGATGGTTGTAAAGACTTGGTGGGTGCTAGAGAAATTGTGGGTTGCGCGCTCGGAATTTTTGTGGGAGGTTGCGATGGTTCTGAGGATTTTGAGGGAGACGAACTGGGAGCACTGTAGCGAGACGGTGCAGTGGACGGGGAAACGGAGGGACTCATGGACGTGGTTGGACTTTGACTTTCTTGACTGGGATCAAGAATGCAGTAATCGGTTCGAGATGAATCTTCTTCTCCACCCAAACAGCCAGGGATGGCATCGAGAGGACCACGATCATAACAAATCAAGCCATCACCGCAGTCTTCATCATCGTCGCAATCTCCGGCACACAGTGGCAAGGGGTATACGCTTTCGGGTTGCCCATTGTTGCCAAGCACGTAACCCTCTATGGTTGCTTCTCCCACTAGCGATCGTTCCACATGGGACAAATTCAGATCATCGTGCTGGTTAACCGACCCTATTGCCAAACTCAAGGGAGCTAGAATAGAAAGCAGAAACACAACAAAGCCTACCGCCGGAATCATCTTTGCCAAGAATGATCTGATAGTCTTACACGGACCTCCACGACAGTGGCAAACTTACTTGCGGAAAGGACTTCCATCCTGTTCGCGCCAAAACAGAAGACAATTGAATTTAAAGTAGCAAGGCTCGCGTTAGAGCCAGGCGAACAATCATGTCAAGCAACGGTGGATTGGATGATCCTGCTGCTGTCATACCGGTACCGGTGGTACATGTAGAAGGTACCGGTGGTACATGTAGAAGGCCTGAAATTGAATCCCCAAGCATCACTGATCCTGTTCCAATCGCTGTGGCCATTTTCTCTCCCTACCAGATCCCCGTCCTAATGGTCGGTTTGGCCAAGCCCCAGAACGAGTCGAGTCTTCATGATCATTTTGAATCTTTCGTAGGACTTATACTTTAGCAGCAACAACAGGGCAGACCATGATGACCCTTCTTGGACTTATCTCGTGGGACTAATCTCCAGCCAGAAACGCACAGACAGACTGGACTCTTCCTCATAATTACCAGTATTGCTGTGACTGTCACTCGACTCAGGCTCGAGCTTCCAATTCCAGGACTGATCGTCCCAACAAATCCCCAATCTTTTCATGCGTTGTCAAATGCATCTTTTGGGGGTGGATGGCTCCAGTCTTGGCAGGCCAGTATGGTATTATATTTATAATATTAATACATGTAGTATCAGTGGTGAAGATGACGAAGAGGTGCGAAAAGGAGGCGGGCGCATGGAGAAGGATGGGCGAATAATGTATTAATAGATCCAATTCAATGACGGCTTGGGAAAAGTCAGGGAGGGGGGAGGGCTGGCTGGTTCCAGTCTTGGCATACACGCTGAACTGCCAGACAGGGGCTCGAAATTGGTGGTGGTCGCCAAGGTAGTTACAGGGGCCATTTTAGTGTCTGGCCCGGATTTGGAGAGCCCAGCGTGGTAAAGGCGGCAGGCTGTCTCACAGGATCCCCGTCCCAACAATAATTCAAGAGCTCACTCGGCTTGACTCGAGAAGACCCCGCACAAGCTTTTCAAGTGTTCAACTGAAGTTGAGGGATACTGCGGCACCGCAGCTGGCTTTGAGCTCAACAACCTCCCCTCGAGGCTTGAAGCCTACCGTAGCTAGAGCTAGAAGCTGGAAGCACACAAACTAACTGTTCCTGACTTGCTGAGTACGGTCTGTATCTAACGGGATTTATGGCCAATGAACCAGTTGCCTAAATGTCGCCGAATAACCCGACTCAGATTGTACAGTTCCAAGGAGTCTGAAATTGTCTGAATCCGAAATTGGGGGGAAAATGAACACTTCACGCGATCCAAGTCTCGAAAACCACAATGTCAAAACTTGCGCTCTAATCAAACGTTTCCCCCATCAATGTACCGGTGCCCGTCGTTTATAAGCACAGACAGTGAGCCACTAAGGTCACTTTCGCTGTTCCGCTCATGTCCATTGAGCTTACAATACTACCATTAGCGCTCTATGGGGTTGGAACAAAAAAGAGCTCAAAGAGGTTAGGGGCATCTCATTTGGCATCCGATTGTAGATTCAAATCACCGTACTCCGCTCAAAAAGCAGCCAATCTAAGTGTAACGATGATGGTATCGATACCCTTGCCTCTTGTTGTTGTTGCTCTTGTGCTACTCCCTCTTGGCATTGCCAATGGTGATGGCCTGACCCGATCTAGGGAGCTCCAATTTAGCCCCCGGCAAACGGCCTTGGAGTGGGCGCAAGGAGATCCTCGCGCCAACGATTACAGTCAAGAGAGAACTTTACAGCGTTTTGCACTGGCTGCCATCTACTATGCCGCCGGGGGCGATGATTGGGATAACAACAGTGGGTGGCTATCCTACGATGTCGACGAGTGTTCCTGGTATTCTTCCTCGAGCCGCCCCATCTGTGATCCCGAAGGTATGTTCACCGTGCCGAACACTTTTTGTCTGGATCTCGATCTCGTTGAACTTCTCTCGGTATATCATTCGTGCCACGCACTAATAACACCCCTTCTGTTCCCATTTTGAACCTACCGTACCCAAAATGAAGGAGTGTACAGGATCCTTGATCTTACGTCCAACAACCTGGTTGGGTCCTTGGCTTCCGAAGTGGTTTACCTGACCAGGCTGAACGAACTGTCTCTGACCAGCAACGGTCTAAACAATACCATTCCTTCCTATGTTACATCCATCGCGAGTCTTACCCACCTCAATCTTGATTCAAACGATTTTTCTGGTGTCATCCCTGAAGATTTGGGCAACCTTGTCTTCCTGCAATCACTCAGCCTAAGCTCCAATAGCCGCCTAAATGGAACCATTCCTCCAACAACTGGTTCCCTCAGCAATCTGGCACACTTGAACCTCAGTTCCTGCGATCTTTCCGGTGTTATCCCTGAAGACTTGAGCGGACTGGTCTCCCTGCAATCTCTCAGCCTGGGTTCGAATCAGCGCCTGAATGGAACTATCCCTTCCAGTACTGGTTCGCTTGGCAATCTCGAACATTTGGATCTTAGCGCCTGTGATCTTTCCGGTGTTATCCCTGAAGACTTGAGTGGACTAGTTTCCTTGCAATCTCTTAGCCTGGGTTCCAACCAACGTCTGAATGGAACCATTCCCAATGCAACTGGTTCACTCGGCAGTCTGACCCATTTGAATCTCAGTTCCTGTGCCCTTTCCGGTGTTCTCCCACTGGACTTGGAGAACTTGGTTCAACTGAGTGAACTGGATGTGTCTGATAACGCCCTGACTGGCACGGTCCCTCCTGAGTATGGAAACATGTCGACATTGGCTCATTTGAACCTTTCAAGTAACGCGCTTAGCGGAGTCCTTCCAGAAGACTTGGCGAGACTGCTTCGGTTAAGAGTGCTAGCTGCCGACAGAAACCGCTTTCGCGGGGCAATCCCAACAGGGCTGAGCCTTGTCCTTCGACACTTGGACTTGAGTTGGAATGGTTTCTCGGGTGTGCTTCCAGGGGAAATGTCAAAGATGGTCCAGCTGCAGCAGTTGGTTTTGGACGGCAATGAGATCAATGGTGCCATCCCCTCAGAATACAGAAACCTCGTGTCCTTGGAGACATTTACAGTGAGGGACAACTTCCTAACTTCAACCTTGCCACCATCACTTTCTGAAGTGACTTCTCTGAAATTTCTTGCCGTGGATGAAAACCCTATCGATGGAACCATTCCTGTGGAGTATGGCATGATATCTGAATTGGAGTATTTTTCTGCTAGCAAGACACGATTATCTGGACGCATCCACTCTGATTTATTTTCACTACAGAAGCTAAAGTCACTTTATGTGGAAGAGGCAAGATTTACCGGCCCAATCCCCAGTGAAATTGGGCTGGCGTCAGCTCTGTCCTTCTTTTCTGCCAACTACAATCAACTGTCAGCCACGATACCAACTGAAGTAGGAAACACCCGGATGCTACGAGATCTCCTTCTAAGAAGCAATCAGGTATGTAAAGCATGGTGATGGATTGGTGCTAGTAGTCCTTTGGTGTTCTCACTGTTCTCTCGTTTCTGCTGCAGCTGAGTGGAACAATTCCTTCTGAAATAGGTCGTCTAACAAGCAGCAAAGCAAAGCCCTCATTGAGTGAGGGGCCAATTTTCATTAGGCCGTCCACTCTTACTAAGGCTGTGAAAGCCATTGATCCCTATCGTGTTGCTGCAGCACAAGGATTGCGGAATCTTTGGCTTGATGACAATCCTCTGCTGACGGGCACTGTTCCTACCGAGCTTGGCAACCTTGACGCTTTGGCTTCATTTACGTTCAACAATACTCAAATATCGGGATATCTCCCACCGCAGTTTTGTGAGAATGAAACAGCAATCATGATCACATGTTCTTTTGAGCACACTTGTTCTTGCTTGATTCGAGGTCAAGCTGGTCTGGATACTGCTGCTACCCCATCTGAGTTTCCCACTCCGCAGCCAACAGCCACGCCGGGAACTCCCACAGCCACCCCGACACGTTCTCCATCGAGGTCTCCCACGCCACGGCCAACAGCAACGCCAACAAAAGGACCCACCAATCCACCCACATTTCCACCAACCAATGCCCCAACTCCCAGGCCAACTACATCGCAACCAACTGTTGTGCAAGGATCCCCAAGTGTGACTCCAACATACATGCCAACAGAGCCACCCACTTTGCGCCCAACTGGAGCACCCACAAAGGCTCCAACAACACTGCCACCAACCAACATCCCAACCTCAGCTCCAACTACAGCCAACCCAACCAATGCCCCAACTACTAAAGTCCCTACAGCTGCTCCCACCTTTGCTCCAACCACTGCTGCACCAACCAACCCACCAACTAGAGCGCCAACTACAGCAGTACCACTAATTGCACCAGTCACAATGCCCCCAACTTCGGCACCTGTCACCACAAGACCAACCAACATGCCAACCAACCCACCAACAACTAGAGGACCCACCTCAATGCCGACTCCTCAACCAGTGACTTCCTCTCCTACACCCGGCCCTACATTGCGCCCAACAGGCCAGCCAACACCAAGTCCGACTCCTGAGCCCACTTTCGAACCCACGCCACAGCCATCTCCAAGCCCCACATCCAACCCAACAAGTCCACCAACAACAGCCAGACCCACTCCAGCTCCCACAAGAGAACCCACATTTCCTCCAACCGCAAGTCCCACACCAGAGCCAACCAGGCAACCAACAAATAGACCAACACCCCAACCTACACCTTCACCTACATTTGAACCAACAGAGCAACCAACGCCACAACCTACATTTGAACCAACACCACAACCCACTAGGTCGCCAACCGATCGACCAACACCACAACCTACACCAGAGCCCACTCCTTTCAGACACAACCGAAACAAAACCAAACACCACAACCGACCGCGCTCGCCAACAAGGCCCAACACCGGAACCTACCCCGTTGCCAACAGATAAACCAACATCGAAACCAGTGTCTGGAACAGGAGATGCTTGCAGTGAAGATGACGATTGCCAGAGTGGCAGTTGTGGTGTCCTATACCAAAGCGGAAGCAATAACCGAAGGGACTATGAATGCTGTGAGAGTTCTGCTTCCACCGTCCGATGGGACTCTGACTACTGGTGCGCTGGCTTGGAAACACGAGATCCTTGTGGAACGGACAGCATGTGCCGGTCTGGCGTCTGCATTTCAGGGTTTTGCTCTAGTGGAGAACAATCCGAAGGAGCCTTTTGCGATAGTGACAATGACTGTGAGAGCAATGCGTGCGGCATTCTCTTTTCGCACAGCACCAATGGTGGCACTTACGAATGCTGTGCGAGCTCCACCACCAGCTGGAATGGGGATGAGTGGTGTGCTGACCGCCCCACCGGCGCGGATTGTATCCCTGACGACATGTGCGCTTCTGGCACGTGTGATCCACTTGACTATTGTACGTAGATACTGCATGGCTACTGTAGTAACTCATAAAATGTTGATGTACCGTATGTTGTTCTTGCCAGTTTATTTTAGAATTTGAAGCTATTACATCCAAGTCGGGCGGTGGAAAAGACTATTTAACTTGCACCGTTGTTACTATGCATAACTGGCTTGATTCTTTGCTTGTCCTCTCGCTCCGGCCAATCTGTGGCATTGTGACCTACTGGCTTGATGCTTAGACTGACTTTTCCCAAGATAGAGCTGTTTGATCGATAGCTGGCTACTAGCTAGATAGCTAGCAAGTGCTGTATGTGCTGATGAAACTTGCAGGTGTGTTGCCAGCCATCATCATGATTTCCCTCCACCACAATGATCACTGAATCAAGGGGTGTATGGTCGAAGAAGTTTCCTTCCCTTTCTTCTAGATCTCGCATAAGTTGATCAACGTCAACAACCTTATCATCATCATCATCGTCACTGTCAGCATTGGAGTTGACTTTCTTGATGGATACGATGTTGCCCATTTTGTTTTTGGATTTGTGTTGTTGCCTGTGAAGCAAACAGAGGACTCCCGCGGTCAAGTTCTGAAGCAGGAAGAAGGACGCGAAGAGGACGTGTCTCCTTTTCAACTCCCGTGGAATTGTCGTTGCGGTATTGACCTCTAAATCACTTCGATCCTTTGGCCGTTTGGCGTGTGCTTTGTGCCAGAATGCAGTCATCATCGAAAGACCGTAAGTTCTTTGATTACTAATGATTTAAAAGGCAACATTACCTGGCATGAGTCGTTGAAGTTTCTTAAGCAAAACGTGTTAGGGTTTCGTGCGAAAGATACTTTTAGCACGCGCAAGTTCCTTTGTTCCCAGTGGATGATCGAGGATGCTTTCACCCCTTTTTGGCATTCAGCAACTGTGTCTTGGGACGGCAATGTGGCATCGATAGCCCTCCTTTCTGCCACATCTCGATACCCCTCACAAATCAAAGGACCCTCCCTTTTCTCACTTTTGGCTCTCAAAGTTGAACCTCCATTCCTCCAACGAACTAATTGATCAATCTACTGATCCACCATGACGATGATGACGGAAGAATCGATCCGTTTGCAGCTTGTTGGCATGGACGAGAGCCGTGCTTCCAGCACCAGTGCTACATCGGACGCCGATGCGGGTGGTCCTTGGCGCTGGCCGTTTGGTGGCAACAGCAACAACAAGACTGATTTGGCCAAACGAGAGACTCGTGCCGTCTTGAATCTTCGCGCCGTGGTGCTCTTGGTCCTCTTGTTGGTGGCGATTGGCGTTACCATGCTCATGTGGTTTACCACAAGTCAGGCCGAACAGGAAGACTTTGAAACGAACTTTGTGGGTGCGGCTAGCAAGCTCATTCTGGCGTTTGATGACATTGTGGAACAAAAGTTGAATGCCATTGCCGGCTTTGGCGTGTCCTTGACGTCCTATGCGCGTGACAATAACAATGACAACAACAATGAGACGACGTGGCCATTTGTCACCATGAATGACTTTCAACAACGTGCCGATAGTTGTCGGGCATTGAGCGATGCACTCTTTCTCAACGTGGTACCCAAGGTGGCTCCGGATCAACTCGACCAATGGCAAGACTATGCGTTTGCCCACAAGGGATGGGTCCAACAAGGACAAGACTACCAGCGACAGATCGGATGGGAACACATCACCAAACTACCACAGCAACAACACCAAGAGCTGCTGCAGCAGACAACCCAACAACAACAGCGGCAGCAAGGACCCAACAATGGCACAGAAGTCAAATTCATTGGTGGAGTCGCAGACAAAGTCTGGTTTTACAACGAGACTTGGGATCCGGCTCCAGATCCCATGGTCACTGACTCTCTCTATCCTCTCTGGCAGTCCTCTCCACTCATTGTCGTGCCAGAAATGACGGTAAGTCACTATACACTCTGTACTGACCGAACTGCTCTCTAGCTTATCAGGATGGCTCTTCTTACGGTCACTGCCCCACTCCATGTTTCATTCCTTTGTCGCTCGTTCGTTCTGTAGGTCAACTTCAACATTGCGCACTACCCACCCTATGCACCCTACATTCGACAAGCCATGGAAACGGGACAAATCACATTTGGAGGAATCTTAATGGCGCCTCCAGGAAACGTATCCTACCCTCATCTCACCACCAGCTTTAATGCCTTTATCCTCAGCTATGCCGCAGGGAAACTTGTCGACTATCAAGGAGATCCATTCTCTAGTGTCTTTGTCCCCGTCTTTGATGGATACGAACATGGCCGCAAGCAACAAAAAGTGGTCGGCGCTGTCTTTGGAGTCATTCAATGGGCCGCCTACTTTGATAATGTCTTGCCTACCAATTCTCCTCCCGTCACGGTCGTATTGGAAAACAGTTGCGAAGGACCCTTCACCTACCAAGTGTCGCCAAGTGCCGTCCACTTTGTGGGACCGGGAGATAGTCACGATGTGCGGTACAATCGATTGGCGCAAACGGCATCCTTTCGGGATCTCATTCACGATGATGACAAGCAACGCAACAGTACGACGACGACGAGAATCAACATGCCATCGCTCAATGAAGATCTCTGCTCGTACTCCATGACGGTCTATGCGACGCAAGCATTTGAAGACGAGTACACGAGCACTCTCCCAATCATTATCACCATTTCCGTGGGAGCAGCCTTTTTGTTTGCCGTCTTGCTATTCTTACTTTACGATCGATTGGTCGAACAACGACAGACGCTCGTCATGGACACTGCAGAACACACCACCGCCATTGTCTCGTCGCTCTTTCCGGCGCAAATCAAGGACCGGTTGCTGGAAGAATCACGCACTAGCATGCTGCGATCTTCCTCCAAGACATTGTCGACGTCTACCATCACGGCTGGAGGAGGAGGAGGACTGATTCGGGTCGAAAAGCCATTGGCCGATCTCTTTTTGGAAACCACCGTCATGGTACGTACCTACTTGCGCTTGCTTGCAGCCAGCTGGGATGATCGAGACCGACACTGCATGATTGCAACTTGCATCAAAGAGTTACTCACTTTTTCTTTCTTCGAAATTCCTTGCGTCGAGCAGTTTGCGGATGTCTCTGGTGAGTGACGTCGCCACAGACTGTCTTGGGAGCAGTCCTACTCGTTGATGGTAGAATGTGATTGCTCATCTTACGATTGTCGTCATCCTTGTTGGCTCGTTTCAAACACGTTTAGGGTTCACTTCGTGGAGCAGTGTGCGGGAACCGTCTCAGATCTTTATGCTTTTGGAGGCGTGTTACCAGGAGTTTGATAAGATTGCTATGCGAAGACGCATCTTCAAGGTGAGCCTCTTGTGAGACTCCATGGTCGGCCCATTGCACGTGATGCATCGCCCATACTTACAGTGCTCTCGTTTCTGCGCAAAGGTGGAGACAGTTGGAGACTGGTAAGGTCAACCATAAGGATGCAAATTGCTGGTATTTGAGGCCAATTGCAGCTTTCTCATCTAGCTTCCGATGCCTTTGATAGCTACGTTGGTGCGTTCTGATGCCACTGCGTCTTTCATGCATCAACTGGATGCTTGATCTCACTATAAACGCGCCTTGTGTTCGTTTTCGTGTCCATTACAGCCGCAGCAGGGCTCCCCGAGCCCCGCCATGACCATGCCGTCGTCATGGCCAAGTACTCTGACAACATCATAGCCAAGGTAAGGTTCTGTAGCATCTGATCTCCTTTCTCTCGTATGTCCTGCTCTAAACACACTCTTCTACTTTATAGATGGGTACACTCACAAAGGAGTTGGAAGTCTTGCTTGGACCAGATACGGCAGAACTGGGGTTGCGGGTCGGCATCAACAGGTAGGGAAACGAAGGGCAGAGTTGGGTTGTGTGATCTGTTTTCCCGATTGGATTCCTAATCACAACCCGCATACTGTTGAACCTCCAGCGGGCCGGTGACCGGAGGGATCCTTAGAGGCGAAAGGTAAGGACGAAGAAAGCAAGCTTTGCAACAATTGGAAGGCTACACGTCTTCCGCGATTGAATCTCGCGCAATCTAAAACGAACTCTAATTTCAACAGGGCCCGATTCCAGCTTTTTGGAACGACGGTGAACACCGCCAGCCGTATCGAAACTTCAGGTTTGCCTGGCCGAATTCATTGTTCCGCGAGGACTGCAGAGCTCCTGATGCAAGCTGGCAAAGGATCATGGCTGCAAAAGCGACAGGAGCCTATCAATGCCAAGGGTCTTGGTTGTATTGAAACGTTTTGGGTCCAGGTTCAGTCCTCGGGGAGTCAGTCTCAAGCTTTGTCCATTTGCACATCAAACTCTAGCGCCAGCGAAGACGTTGTGGTTCCAGGTTTCAGTGACAGGATCGGTCGCCTAATCAAATGGAACACGGAGATCTTGACAAGCCTTCTAAGAGCTATCGTTGCCCAGCGCGTCGAACTTGAAGAGGCACCAGGCACCACGTCTTGGGAAACAACTTTCTCCGGCATACCTTTGGGAGAAGTGCGCGAGATCGTATCGTTGCCAGATTTTGACGCAGAGATGGCTTCCAACTTTAAGAATCCTGACGAGGTCATCATCCCGCAAGATGTGGTTGCTGAAATCGAACATTTGGTGGCGACGATCGCATCAATGTATAGACACAACAATCCATTTCACAACGTGAGTTCTACAGTATGGCTGCGAGGATACCGGTATTCCTCAGCCCAAGTCGGCCTCTCACTTCCTCTCCTCTCCTCTTCTGTTCTTTGAATCTGCCCCGCACTCACAGTTTGAACATGCCAGGTGAGACAACGTTTGTAGTTTTGCGCAGGAGCTGCATTTCTTTTCAAAGACTTGCTCAACCGTTCCCATCGTCCCTTCCTCCTTGCCCATGGCGTGTTTCTTTGTCATGTAGTCATGTGCTCATGTCCGTGAACAAAACGCTCGCTCGTATCATTGCACCAAGTGCAGCAACTTCGAATGATCTCATGCAAGACGACAGTAAAGTTGCCGAGTTCTTGCACGGTAAGCGATGCTTCAAGTGCCTAACAGACACATTCAATCCTCTTCTCGACTCATCGGTCTTTCGTCTTTCTTCAGATCACACATATGGTGAGGCCATTGCAGCTTTTCAGCTTCCCGGTGGGCTGGTACCATTCTGTCTCTCATTAAACCGAATCTCTTGGATGCAAAGGTATTGCCGGGGACCCGTTGACCCGATTTGCTTGTGCTTTCAGCGCGTTGTGTCATGATGTTGGTGAGTACTTTGGCGTGACTACGAAGTCGTTCTGAACGTGAAACTAAACAGTGTGCACTCTGTCTCGTCTGGTCTGGTGAAGACCACACTGGCGTCAGCAATGCACAGCTAGTCATCGAAGGGGCCCCAATTGCTGATCGTTATGATTGCAGGAGTGTCGCTGAGCAGCACAGTTTAGTGCTCTCATGGGCGGTTCTCATGAGACCAGACTACGCATCCCTCCGATCGCTCCTCTTCTCTACAGCGGACGACTTTCACAGGTTCCGGCAACTCGTAGTAAACTCTGTGATGGCGGTAAGCCTCGTTCTCGCTCGTTGTACAGATCCACGGAGAAGAGCCTTCACTGGTTGGTTCTCAGTTTGCTTTTTCATCTCAACTCGTCTTCATCATTCAAAACCGTTGCGGCGTCTTGTGGGCAACCTCCCTGTAGACTGATATTGCGGACGCGGAACTGAAAGCATTGAGGAATGACCGATGGGACAGGGCATTCACTTCTGAGGTGGCGAACTCCCTGAAGGAGAGTCCCCGTGATTCTACTAACCGAAAGGCCACGATTGTTGTAAGTGCCTCCTTCCTCACGAAGCTGGCTGTGTCACCACCCAACTTTGGAACTAACGCTCTCCCTTCCCCTTTTCTCCCTTCAGATTGAACACATCATCCAGGCCAGTGACATCAGGTATGGCCATTACATCTTGCTTTTTTGACTGCTTAATCGCTTTGCTTATCTCAGTTGCCACCTTCTCCATTCCAGTCACACTATGCAACACTGGCATGTGTACAGGTATGTGCGGCACCACGCATGACAGAGCCGCTCCAGTTGTTTCCCATCTTTTGCTTTGAAATGCATCTGACTTTTGCTTGCTCCTCCTTAGGAAATGGAATACCAAGTTGTTCGAGGAGCTGTATGTGGCATATCTCAATGGACGAATGGAGAAGGACCCAGCCGAATTTTGGTTCAAGGGCGAAATTGGTTTCTTCGACTTCTACAGTATGTTGCGTTGGTTACCAGGTTGTATCTTGCCTTTGCCGCATGAATGCCTCACTTTGTGTGACCATTGCTTACTTTGTAGTCATTCCATTGACCAAGAAGTTGAAGGACTGTGGTGTTTTCGGAGTTAGCTCGGGGGAGTTTCTCAACTATGCCGGAAGCAACAGGGCTGAATGGATCGAGAAAGGGGAAGCTTGCACCGCAGAGTTGGTCCAACTCGTACGGGAGAAGTACGGGGAAAAGAAAACGAACGTGACTGAATCCTTGGAAACTGCAACTTTAGAGCAAGCATCATCGCATCACGATCCAGCAGATGCATTGGAAAGTGCTTGGTCAGATGAGCAAGAGGATGCCGACGATGAGAATCTGGAATGAAACAGGCAAGGGGTGCAATGTTCTGCACTTTCATAGTAACTATTGCTTAGATGTATCTTGATCTTCATAGGACACACGCTACCGGTATCCCTTGGGCACCTCTGAAGACGACAAAGGTCAGATAGATGAGGCACTCCACCATAAGCGTGCACAAGGTGTCTCAAGCAGCTGGAGCCATCGTGCGAGACGCATAGCCCTTTGTGTAATTCTCATCAGATGCTCCTCTGGTTCTGCCTAGCTTGCAATGGGCCCCTTGAACCAAGAAAACGGGGCTTTGATGATTGCATCACAATCTTGCGAGTGACAGGAGCCCCTGAACAAGATGACTGGGTATAAATTGAACGACTAGCTACATCGGCGGCTTTGCTGCTTCATGTGATGGTTCCTATAGTGTTAAAGTTCTATACAATGCGGGGGATTAGATTCACGAGCCACGTGGGGGGTCACACCCAAGGCGAGAGCGGCCGAATGTAGTTCGACCAAAAGTTGCACAAAGTGTTTCCTCTTGCTGACTTCAATAAAACCAGCGTTGACACGACATTGCCACTGTTGGCTGCCTTCCTATTCGTACGTATGGATGGATCAAGTTTGATCTCTTGCTTGATGTCTCTTGCTTTGCCTGTTCTGCCTAAAAGTCTGGAAGGTAGAGGTTCTCATGCCCGAGATTGCTGCTCATCACAGCACGAGACCATGGAGGGGTCACCAGGCTAAGAGTTTCAGTTTCATCAGACATTACCGGGCGTGTTATGCGTGCAGGTGCCTTGTTGGCGGCAGGCCGCGATGCCGTTCTCTTGAACTTTAGACGCCTCGCTGCCAAAGCCGTTAGTACGCTGGAACAACCCCCCGCATCGAAGTCCCAATCAGCTGTCCCACTTCTTGGCTGGAGCCTTACTCGTTTCCGAGTTGGAATGTCGTCCATGATAGAAACATCGATCGAATCGGGCAGTGTTGGCATGAAAGGAATTGATCCCCTAGAAGTCGAAGCGCTACGAGGAACAGAGATCATGGCGAGAGATGATTGGAGTGCAAGCTTTGTGTGCACTGAAGGTGGCATGAGCAGCAAGGTCAAAACTATGGATTGGATACCGTACCAACGAAAGAGAAAGAAGAAATGTATTGAGATCCTCACAATAGAAACAATACTTCCCCATAGCATTGGATACGATTCAATCGAATTGCTATGGGGAATCATTGAAAAAAGACTTCCGAAAGAAATCGAAAGGCGTCAGTGTGCGCTTTCTCTCACAGCTACGAGCCGGCTGGGGAGTCTCACAACCGGTATGCACGGCAGTAGACTACGTGCCACATCACAGAGGAATGCATCTGTAACATAGTTAACATAGCGGTACAGTACACGTACGTGTACCGTATCTTCGAAGAGACTGACTCCCACTCATTCGATCAACTCCCAAAAATTAATTGACTACGCTGTGAAGGATCATCCAATAGAGCTAGACTAATGCACGGGACGGTATCTGAATTGCTTGATACAGCTGGCGGCCCAAGCAAAGGCCAAGCAAACGTGGGCTGCTTGCTTCATCGTCTTTTGATGCTCACCACTGAGGAACAAGCTGACAAGCTACCCAGTAGTAGCTAGTACAGGAATTGAGGCAACAAGCAGATACAAAGTTAATAAATGTCCACCATTATTGTTTGCTACAGTACTTGTTTTCCTAACTAATTGAGACTTGGTCGCTAGAAAACCTTGCAATGCAAGAACATTCATGCACTTGCAGCTTGAGGAACCACCCCAAAGGAGGTCTGGTCGATTTCTTGCAACACTTTGAATAAGAGTAGATTACTACTTTTCCAGGCTAGATGTAAGCCCGACTTAGGATGCAACGCCATGAAGTTATGACTGGTATCAGGTAGATCACCATCTCGCCAGCTAGCAGCCAATGCCAACTTGGCCTTCCAAACATGGAAGGAAGAGCCCCGCATAGCAGCAAGGGGAACGCGAGGGGGGAGTTTCAAAGGTCCATGGAGCCCCCACCGCGTTTTGTGTGCTGGTATCTGCTTCGGTGAAGGTCATAGGATCAGCCCGCTTCTTCAAGACGAAGCGTCGCTTGTGGGGTTTCCGGGGAGCTTCAAGGTCAAACCCTTCATGGGCGACAAGATCCTATGTTGCTTTCCTGGCCAAGACCTCTTTCCTCTGGATAGCCCTCAACTAGTCTAGGTTATAATAAGGCCCTTGTGAAGTTTGTTTGGATGTTTGTCTGTCCGTTTGTGTATCACACTTTTTAGCCATAACCCTAATAAACGTAGCCTAGCCAAATGCAAATTGCAAAAGCGGAACAAATGGCCGGCTACTGATCATCCAAAGGTGGGGCTCACCTACGGTAGCCACCTCTAGAGTATGTAGCTAGCTACTGGCTAATTGGCACCGTACCATACCTCCCAAGCAGCCAACTGATCATTACCAAAGCAGCCAACTGTTTATTACCTAGCTAGCTAGCTAGATATGGGCTCTATCTATCTACCAGCTAGCAGCCGTAGCAGAACTAGCTAGCTAGCAACACATTGTTTCCAACCAGGGTTACTCGGCATTTTGTCTGTTTAAATTTGGGAAAGTGTTTTGGCGATTAAGTGTAAATGTCTACACACAGTTAGTAGACATAAGTAGACAAAGTAGACATTGTGCGACATTAGGAGACATTAGTAGACAAAGTGATACATTGGTAGACATTGGTAGACAAAGTGAGACATTGTGAGACATTGGTAGACAAAGTGCGACATTTTTGTACTGTTTTACTGTACTGTGTAGACAAAGTGAGACATTGGTAGACATTAGTAGACATTGTGCGACATTATGAAACATTGTGAGACATTAGTAGACATTGTGAGACATTGTGAGACATCCGTAGACATTGTGAGACATAAGCCACTTTACAAAGGAGCATAGAACATTTAGGAAACTCTGTAATCAGATACAATAGCCTTAAATAGACAAAATGCGGAGTAACCCAGCTGAATGATTCCAAACTCGTTGAGGGCTCCTGCCGACGCCTCAAATATTTCCTTTGCAACACTGCAACAGGATCCTTTTTGGACGACCCTGGCCTTGGCTGCAGCCTCAGTGGTCGCCTGAGAGGGACAGAGGGACAACGTCTGGAGGGCCTCCGGTGACGTGGGCTTTTGGCGATTCTAACCCTAATAGCACGACTGAGCTGCTTCCACGTGGCAGTCGCGCGACTGCACGCGACTGCTCAGTCGCGTGGAGTCGCGCACAGTCGCGTTCACAGTCGCGTGGAGTCGCGTGGAGTCGCGTACAGTCGCGACACAGCAATGCTACAAAACT